CCATCATATGCTCCCAAGGGCGGATCCAAACGATTTGGGTTAGGGGGTCAAAAATAAAATTTATAGGGTATCTTCTAATAAAAAAAAAGCTAAAAAAAGAAAAGAAAAGAAAAGAAAAAGCTAAACAAAATTCTTTTTTCCCCCAAAATCTAGAGGGTCAGTTGACCCTATAATCCCCCCTCAATTCTGCCCCTGTATGCCCCATTCTAACTTTAGTCTCTCACCACCCGCTACAATCATCCTTCAATCTCTTCATGCCAAAAAACAATAATTTTATGCTAACATGAGTGAAAGTGAAAGCTCACATCTACAAATCAATCCAAAAGTTCAATCTTAGTTCGACTCTTGTTCCCTAACCTGAGGTTGAACCTACTTCCTCCAGGCTCTAACCTTACATTTTACAAATCCAGCATGGTGCCATGCAACATTAGCTAAAAACTTGATATCCTAATATGTAATGGCACATGGACTATAGTTCCTCCTGCATGCTTCTAAAACATTGTGGGCTGTTAATGGGTTTTCCTCATCTTATAGATTCAAAGCCCGGACAACGTCATGAAGTAAACTATATGAAAATATTAGAGAGCATTTGGTGGGAATAAAATTAGATTTTTAGTACATTTTGATAGACATTTTTAAAATGCGTGGTTGAAAAGTTGTGGGATCCAAAAAAAAATTGGTTAATATTGATTGTTTGACTTTGATTCAGATTAAAATTTGAACCAAATGGAGGCTTAGTCTGGTAATTAAATCCATAACCATTTGCCTTGTCCCAAGTCTTGCTCTTGCTTAAAACGTCAACTCGATGCCAACAATGTCTTTCTCCAATGCACGTTGAATGGGATTCGTTGATCGAACTCATCCAACCCATCTTTGTCATTTGCAGAAGGCCTTTTTATGATTTCGAGCTGGCCATCGCACAAGGTGACAGATCACCTTTAATTTTGCTTCTAGTGCAGTAATGAGAATATATAGGAGTTTTCAATGTATTATTTGGCCTTTTTTTAAGTCCAAGTCTAGTGTTGGGTGTGGAGTAGACAGATGTTTTAAAATAAGTCCACTTATTAAGTCCCTGTTTGGAAAAAAATTAAAAACTACATTTTGATCCAAATCAAAGTCAACAATTAATTTTAACCAAATATTTTGTGCAATCCACAAATTTTCACTAATGCATTTTATCAACTTTTATCAAAATATGCTAAAAACCTGATTTTAATATCCATAAGAAAGGGGCTAACTTGAAAACAATAAGGAATCAACTATCAAGAGTCGAAAAACTAAATCCAAATCTTAGCTTGGTATGAATTAATTTATAAATACATAGAATTGAGTGATATATAACTGTATAGTATTTGTAAGTTCATTGAAATGAAGTTTGACAAATTTGACAAATGGGAACAAAGTTGAACAAGTACTAAGAAAGTTTAGCAAATGGATTGTTGTGTAATAGACCTGCCTGTTTTTTAGGATAATTAGCACAAAACGTCTTTACCTTTCAATATTATTGTTAAAAAGGTCTTTACCTTTCATTTATTGTATTTTCATCCTCATTTTAACATTTCATTGCAAAAAATGTCATTTTCATCCAATTTCTCAATAAAGAAATGTAAAATGATAAATATACCTACTATTTAAATAAAATAAAAAATGAAAAGAAAAATTAAATAACAAATTGTAATTATACTACTTAACTTTTTAAAAAACTATAAATGAATTTAAATAAATTATTAAAAGGGTAATAAGCACAAAACGTCTCTGCTTTTCAATATTATTGTGCAAAATATTCACGTCTTTCATTTTTTGACATTTTTACCATTATTTTCACATTACATTTTGAAAATCATCATTTTTATTCATTTTCTAAATAAAAGTGTAAAATAACGAATACTCCCTCCTATTTAAATAAAACAAAAATAAAGAACAAATTGCAATTTACTCCCAAAAATTTTAAAAAATTACAAATAAATCCTAAATAAATAATTAAAAAAATTAAGTGATTTTTAAAATTTTTATTATTTATTTGAAATTTATTTGTACTTTTTAAAAAAAATTGGGAGTATGGTTGCAATTTGTTTTTTATTTTTCTTTACTTTATTTTTTATTTAAATATGAGGATATATTCATCATTTTACAACTTTTAATTGAAAATGGATGAAAATGATGATTTTCGCAATGAAATACCAAAATAAGAATGAAAATTCCAACAATCAAAGGTATAGACATTTTGTACAATAATATTGAAATGTATGGATGTTTTGTGCTAATTACCTTTTTAATAATTTATTTAAACTCATTTATAATTTTTTAAAAATTTTGAGAGGATAATTGCAATTTTTTCTTTAATTTTTTTTTGCTTTATTTAAAGGGGAGTGTGTATTTATCACTTTGCATTTTTTATTGAGAAATTGGATGAAATTGACATTTTTCGCAATGAAAAGTGAAAATAAGATGAAAACGCCAAAAAAATGAAAGGTAGGAACGTTTTGCCCAATAATATTGAAATGTAAGAATGTTTTGTGCTAATAAATGTATATATTTAATTTTATAATTATATTTTTATTAGATTTAATTATTAAATTTTAATTAACACCTGATTATTGAAAATGAAACTTAATCTCTTGTTTTTTTGAAGATCAATCTTTAAACGTTGGTTTGCAACCAAACATGGCCTATATTGCAAAATACCCACTATTTGAACCACCACTCAAAACTGATACTCTTTCCTGTCTCCATTCGTCACCCATTGAAAAACCCGCACGATCACTACTTCCCTCATTTATTATCAAAAAATGATTTGTTCAGGAAGAATTTCAGCTGTTTTGTATTCAAATTCACCGTTTAATCATTCGAATCTACGCTTCTCCAAATCCAGATTTCTCCTGGTAAAGCTAAAATCTCATGCCAAATGGAAAGCAATGACATCAGATTCCGACGCCTCTTCCTTTGCTTCTTCCGTTGATTCCGACGCATCAACTAATAAAAACTCTTCCGCGTAATATAGTTTTTTCTTTTATTTTGGTTATATAGTGTTTGTTGTTGTTTTGAATTGAGGTTTGATGTTTAGGTCATTGGTTGAGAAAATGAATAGTTTATTTTGATGAGTATATGAAGATATTTATGTAATTAGGCGTATTTGTGATTAAATGATTAATTAATTAGATATTTGTAGTTGTTCATGGTAAATTGGGAAGGGCTGATTGGGTGTGTATGGATGCAGGTTTTGTATAATAGAGGGACAAGGTGACAGATCACCTTTAATTTTGCTTCTAGTGCAGTAATGAGAATATATAGGAGTTTTCAATGTATTATTTGGCCTTTTTTTAAGTCCAAGTCTAGTGTTGGGTGTGGAGTAGACAGATGTTTTAAAATAAGTCCACTTATTAAGTCCCTGTTTGGAAAAAAATTAAAAACTACATTTTGATCCAAATCAAAGTCAACAATTAATTTTAACCAAATATTTTGTGCAATCCACAAATTTTCACTAATGCATTTTATCAACTTTTATCAAAATATGCTAAAAACCTGATTTTAATATCCATAAGAAAGGGGCTAACTTGAAAACAATAAGGAATCAACTATCAAGAGTCGAAAAACTAAATCCAAATCTTAGCTTGGTATGAATTAATTTATAAATACATAGAATTGAGTGATATATAACTGTATAGTATTTGTAAGTTCATTGAAATGAAGTTTGACAAATTTGACAAATGGGAACAAAGTTGAACAAGTACTAAGAAAGTTTAGCAAATGGATTGTTGTGTAATAGACCTGCCTGTTTTTTAGGATAATTAGCACAAAACGTCTTTACCTTTCAATATTATTGTTAAAAAGGTCTTTACCTTTCATTTATTGTATTTTCATCCTCATTTTAACATTTCATTGCAAAAAATGTCATTTTCATCCAATTTCTCAATAAAGAAATGTAAAATGATAAATATACCTACTATTTAAATAAAATAAAAAATGAAAAGAAAAATTAAATAACAAATTGTAATTATACTACTTAACTTTTTAAAAAACTATAAATGAATTTAAATAAATTATTAAAAGGGTAATAAGCACAAAACGTCTCTGCTTTTCAATATTATTGTGCAAAATATTCACGTCTTTCATTTTTTGACATTTTTACCATTATTTTCACATTACATTTTGAAAATCATCATTTTTATTCATTTTCTAAATAAAAGTGTAAAATAACGAATACTCCCTCCTATTTAAATAAAACAAAAATAAAGAACAAATTGCAATTTACTCCCAAAAATTTTAAAAAATTACAAATAAATCCTAAATAAATAATTAAAAAAATTAAGTGATTTTTAAAATTTTTATTATTTATTTGAAATTTATTTGTACTTTTTAAAAAAAATTGGGAGTATGGTTGCAATTTGTTTTTTATTTTTCTTTACTTTATTTTTTATTTAAATATGAGGATATATTCATCATTTTACAACTTTTAATTGAAAATGGATGAAAATGATGATTTTCGCAATGAAATACCAAAATAAGAATGAAAATTCCAACAATCAAAGGTATAGACATTTTGTACAATAATATTGAAATGTATGGATGTTTTGTGCTAATTACCTTTTTAATAATTTATTTAAACTCATTTATAATTTTTTAAAAATTTTGAGAGGATAATTGCAATTTTTTCTTTAATTTTTTTTTTGTTTTATTTAAAAGGGAGTGTGTATTTATCACTTTGCATTTTTTATTGAGAAATTGGATGAAAATGACATTTTTCGCAATGAAAAGTGAAAATAAGATGAAAACGCCAAAAAAATGAAAGGTAGGAACGTTTTGCCCAATAATATTGAAATGTAAGAATGTTTTGTGCTAATAAATGTATATATTTAATTTTATAATTATATTTTTATTAGATTTAATTATTAAAATTTAATTAACACCTGATTATTGAAAATGAAACTTAATCTCTTGTTTTTTTGAAGATCAATCTTTAAACGTTGGTTTGCAACCAAACATGGCCTATATTGCAAAATACCCACTATTTGAACCACCACTCAAAACTGATACTCTTTCCTGTCTCCATTCGTCACCCATTGAAAAACCCGCACGATCACTACTTCCCTCATTTATTATCAAAAAATGATTTGTTCAGGAAGAATTTCAGCTGTTTTGTATTCAAATTCACCGTTTAATCATTCGAATCTACGCTTCTCCAAATCCAGATTTCTCCTGGTAAAGCTAAAATCTCATGCCAAATGGAAAGCAATGACATCAGATTCCGACGCCTCTTCCTTTGCTTCTTCCGTTGATTCCGACGCATCAACTAATAAAAACTCTTCCGCGTAATATAGTTTTTTCTTTTATTTTGGTTATATAGTGTTTGTTGTTGTTTTGAATTGAGGTTTGATGTTTAGGTCATTGGTTGAGAAAATGAATAGTTTATTTTGATGAGTATATGAAGATATTTATGTAATTAGGCGTATTTGTGATTAAATGATTAATTAATTAGATATTTGTAGTTGTTCATGGTAAATTGGGAAGGGCTGATTGGGTGTGTATGGATGCAGGTTTTGTATAATAGAGGGGCCGGAGATGGTTCAGGATTTCGCCAAAATGGAATTACAGGAAATTCAGGATAATATTAGGAGTCGTCGGAATAAAATATTTTTGCACATGGAAGAGGTCAGTTTTCTTTATTAATAATATATGCAGACATGAACACTTCTTTAATTAAAATTTGTTAATTTTTGAATAAATTCTGTCTTCAGTTTATAGATTTATTTGTCTTTTTATCTGTTAATTGCTGTTTTGCATAAATTTTGTAGGTTCGTAGGCTGAGAATACAACAAAGAATTAAAAGTGCGGAGCTTGGTATTCTGAAGGAAGAACAAGAAAACGAGCTTCCTAATTTCCCCTCTTTCATTCCATTTTTACCTCCTTTGGTATGCTTGTTGATATGCATTTTATTGGTTTCACTATTTGTTGAGTGTCTTGGGATGTAGAAACTCTGCAAATACTTCATTATGTGGTTTCTAACAAATATATTTGTTGCAGACCTCTGCAAATCTTAAACAATATTATGCAACTTGTTTCTCTCTTATTGCTGGCATCATTCTTTTCGGTGGTCTTCTAGCACCTACTGTAAGTTCTGTTGCACCTTGTCAATAGCATTAGAACAAGAATCGAAGGATTAACATTTGCGCATTAATGACTGTACTTTCCAATTGTTCCACTTTATTTATTGGTCGGTGTTTCCATCCTGTGGTGATAATCTTGTGGTTAAAGCTTTTCGAAATGGCTATCACTTGTTGAAATGACTTATAAAATTGACATCCCTCTATTTCCATCTTCTCCGCCATTCTTCCCCCATTTAAAATTTTGAGCCCCTCCATTACCTTGCAAATGGGAAGTTTTCTGCCATCATTTCTTTTCCCTTTTTTCCTTTTACTGTTTTAGTTAAGAAATAAGAATTTTTTATATTGCAGTCTAATGTACTTTCTAAAGTGTTTATCTGGAGACAACATACTTTTGATTTGTTCTTTAGGAATTGTTTGATAAAGATGTCCAATAAAGATATAATAGCACGAGACTGAATTTGTAGATGTGCAATGAAGAGACAGTAGCATGACACTGAGACATATTCTGTCCCTGAGAGAAATATGGATTAAGCTGAAATATCATTCCATACCTGAAATTTTCGGTTTCAGCCGCTTTTATTTTCTTGACCTTTTTTGGCATCACAGAAGTAGCAAGAATGTGAATACTATTGACCTAGGGGGACAACAATACCGGACTATTTAGATGAGATTTGGTTGTGCTTATGATTTCATTTCTTAAAATTTATGTTGATGTCCTAATCCATGTTCTTTCTATGCTTACATTAGCTGGAGCTGAAACTGGGATTAGGAGGTACATCATATGCTGATTTTATTAGTAGCATGCATCTGCCAATGCAATTAAGGTATACTGCTGGAGTGCCCTTATTTATTAGCTAGTTAAAGTTATTCTCCACGACGATGCATCTGACATGTTTCCTTACTCTTTCCTTTTATGGATGCTGGCGGTGACTGAGACTTCATTAATGTCAAACTCTCTCGGGCACACGTTTAAGAATGTAAATTCAGCATTATAATTAGCTGGATGTCCCATGCTAATTCACACTCTTCAGATCAGAGCTGGTCATCATCCTCTTAAGAATCTATCTTGAATGTCAAGGACAAGTTATAGATAATAAATTTTCCCCCATGAATTATCTCATTTCCAGGACAAGGTGACAGATCACCTTTAATTTTGCTTCTAGTGCAGTAATGAGAATATATAGGAGTTTTCAATGTATTATTTGGCCTTTTCTTAAGTCCAAGTCTAGTGTTGGGTGTGGAGTAGACAGATGTTTTAAAATAAGTCCACTTATTAAGTCCCTGTTTGGAAAAAAATTAAAAACTACATTTTGATCTAAATCAAAATCAACAATTAATTTTAACCACATATTTTATGCGATCTACAAATTTTCAATAATGCATTTTATCAACTTTTATCAAAATATGCTAAAAACTTGATTTTAATATCCATAAGAAAGGGGCTAACTTGAAAACAATAAGGAATCAACTATCAAGAGTCGAAAAACTGAATCCAAATCTTAGCTTCGTAAGAATTTATAAACAATTTAATTTATAAATACATAGAATTGAGTGATAGATAACTGTATAGTATTTGTAAGTTCATTGAAATGTGCGACTCAAAATAAAGTTTGACCAATTTGCCAAATGGAAACAAAGTTGAAAAAGTACTAAGAAAGTTTAGCAAATGGATGGTTGTGTAATAGGCCTGCCTGTTGTTTTAGGAAAATTGGCACAAAACGTTTTTACCTTTCAATATTATTGTAAAAAAACGTCTTTAACTTTCATTTATTGCATTTTCACCTTATTTTCACATTTCATTGTAAAAAATGTCATTTTCATCCAATTTCTCAATAAAGAAATGTAAAATGATAAATATACCTACTATTTAAATAAAATAAAAAATGAAAAGAAAAATTAAATAACAAATTGTAATTATACTACTTAACTTTTTAAAAAACTATAAATGAATTTAAATAAATTATTAAAAGGGTAATAAGCACAAAACGTCTCTGCTTTTCAATATTATTGTGCAAAATATTCACGTCTTTCATTTTTTGACATTTTTACCATTATTTTCACATTACATTTTGAAAATCATCATTTTTATTCATTTTCTAAATAAAAGTGTAAAATAACGAATACTCCCTCCTATTTAAATAAAACAAAAATAAAGAACAAATTGCAATTTACTCCCAAAAATTTTAAAAAATTAAAAATAAATCCTAAATAAATAATTAAAAAAATTAAGTGATTTTTAAAATTTTTATTATTTATTTGAAATTTATTTGTACTTTTTAAAAAAAATTGGGAGTATGGTTGCAATACCTTGCAAATGGGAAGTTTTCTGCCATCATTTCTTTTCCCTTTTTTCCTTTTACTGTTTTAGTTAAGAAATAAGAATTTTTTATATTGCAGTCTAATGTACTTTCTAAAGTGTTTATCTGGAGACAACATACTTTTGATTTGTTCTTTAGGAATTGTTTGATAAAGATGTCCAATAAAGATATAATAGCACGAGACTGAATTTGTAGATGTGCAATGAAGAGACAGTAGCATGACACTGAGACATATTCTGTCCCTGAGAGAAATATGGATTAAGCTGAAATATCATTCCATACCTGAAATTTTCGGTTTCAGCCGCTTTTATTTTCTTGACCTTTTTTGGCATCACAGAAGTAGCAAGAATGTGAATACTATTGACCTAGGGGGACAACAATACCGGACTATTTAGATGAGATTTGGTTGTGCTTATGATTTCATTTCTTAAAATTTATGTTGATGTCCTAATCCATGTTCTTTCTATGCTTACATTAGCTGGAGCTGAAACTGGGATTAGGAGGTACATCATATGCTGATTTTATTAGTAGCATGCATCTGCCAATGCAATTAAGGTATACTGCTGGAGTGCCCTTATTTATTAGCTAGTTAAAGTTATTCTCCACGACGATGCATCTGACATGTTTCCTTACTCTTTCCTTTTATGGATGCTGGCGGTGACTGAGACTTCATTAATGTCAAACTCTCTCGGGCACACGTTTAAGAATGTAAATTCAGCATTATAATTAGCTGGATGTCCCATGCTAATTCACACTCTTCAGATCAGAGCTGGTCATCATCCTCTTAAGAATCTATCTTGAATGTCAAGGACAAGTTATAGATAATAAATTTTCCCCCATGAATTATCTCATTTCCAGGTAAAATGTGATAAACTATAATAAGAAAAGGTGCAAAGTATGGAAACATTCGATATTTTTATTAACTATGAATGAAAAGCAGAAACTGGAGATGCTATCCGCCAATAACATGAACACAACTTATACAGCATCGCCAGCTTCAACTCTTAGTTCATAGATAATAAAAATATCTTATGTTTTAGTTGTTTGCACCTTTTTTATAATATAGTTTACACGTTTTATCTCGAAATGAGATAACTCGTTGGGGGGAATTTATTACCTATACATTATTTTTGACATTCAAAATAAATTCGTTAGGAGGACGATAGCCTGCTCTGTTCTCAAGTGTGAATTAGCATGGCTAGGTCCTCCTATTTCTCCTTTTTCGTTTTCTGTTCTGGTGAATAATTTTAATAGTGTAACAATCATGTAATGCACAATTAAAATTTAATTCTGTAGGCCTATGAAAATTTTAGAATTGAAGACAATGAATGCTAATTTTAGATGAATTGATTATTTGGATTGAGGATATATAGCATCTTGTTCTCGTTTCTTAATAAAGAGAGTGGCTTTTATGAACACTGTAGTCAGTTTGATCCCATTAGAGGATTGTAGTCCACACATTTTCACAGATGATGCTTATTTATCATTTTGGAGTCTTCATATAATGCTCAAGTAAAACATTGTTCTACGGAGACATCCATTACTAATTTTAGATGATTTGGTTATTCGATTTGAGGATATGTTGCATCTTTTATCTGTTTTCTTAATAAAAGATTGACTTTTATGAATTCTGTAGTGAAGTTGATCCCATTGTGGCATCATTCTCTGGGGGAGCTGTTGGAGTAATATCTGCATTGATGGTAGTTGAAATAAACAATGTGAAACAACAGGAACACAAGAGATGCAAGTACTGTCTTGGTACAGGTAAGCAATGCATGTTCTGGCTTTCATGTCTTCTTAGTTTTTGTTGAGTTTGTTGTGGCTAGATGATATTGAAATAGTTATTAAGCTTAACAGCTTTTTTTGTCACTTGACATCTATTTTTGAAATTCTCCTGTGAGCTCTGCTTGGCAGATCTTTCAATCCTCCTAGGACCTGGGTGAAGAACTTGGGTTTCTGAATGTTTCAATGGTAAAAACAATTAAAGATTACGAAAACAATGTGAAGCTGGAAATATTGTTTCATTCATCAACTTCTAATAGTTTGCTTGATTCCACCAATGAATTATAAAAAGCTGTGCTATGCAAAATGGATGCTCTTGGTGCTTATGGAACTTATATCCTGATTTTCAGGATATCTTGCTTGTGCCCGCTGCTCAAGCAGTGGGTCGCTAGTTCTTATGGAACCAGTCGCCACAGTCAATAGTGGGAACCAGCCTTTGTCAGCACCTAAAACTGAAAGATGTTCTAATTGTTCAGGAGCAGGAAAGGTATGGTTTTGGAATTTGGTTTCCATGTATTTTTGCCTTTCATATCGTAGCTCTTTACATGTTGTTTCTGCGAGGAAATTATTTCCTGTTGCTTGATATACATGGTCTTGTTATGCATGCTGGATTAAGACGAGCACAGGATGGAACTAGTTTGTGGATTTGTGATCTGTATGAGTTTTAGTTGGAATGATGGAAATTGATTTTTCATCAAGATTTTATCTAAAAAATTGAGTGGATAATTTAAATCATTTATATTTTTCTTCAAATATTTCCTTTTTCTTTGAAGTTGGGGGAGGGGTCGGGAACTCGGGAGGGGATTTTCTTTTGGGAGTTTGCAACAGTTAAATTAGTAATTATCTCTACTTGGTGTTAAGGAGATTTGTTTGTTAGAATTTTGTGAAAGGAGAGGAGGGTATCATTAGACTGAGCCTTGTTGCATTGAGCACTTTTGTTCTTGCTTCTTATGTAGCTTCTCAAGCTCCTTGTACTTTATATTTTCAGTCACTCTAATTCTGGTATGAAAAAATTTAAACATGTGTGGGAGTTGTTTATATCAATTTAAGTTATAAATAGATAGAAATGAGTGGAGGATAAGTGGGTGGTACTTTTGGGTCCCCTAAAATATGTGGATAAAATGTAATTGATAGATTATAAACGGTTTGTAAACATTAGCCAAACATGGGTATCTCTAGCCTCACCTCCTGCCCAGTCATGCACTCCAATTCTTCTCCTTTGCTCTTACTACTGTACACATCACTTCAACAGACTGGGTAGTTAGACAATATGGAGATAAACTTTACCTAGTGTTTTCGTTGAAGGTTTATTATGATCTTCAAAACCCAGGAGACCAAATCTCTTTTGGTTTTGATTATCAATTTTTATTTTTATTTTTCCTCCATAAATTGCCCTATCCTTCATTTCCATTATGTTATGCTAAATACAGGAAGTGATTGGTAGAGTTACCTAACTAGGAATAAGGTTGTGCATTGAAATTGACATATTTCATCTGGAATCTGCAATTGGGGCTATGGCAAGTGAGCATGACCCACGGATTGACCCCTTCGACTATTATGCAAAAATTTTCCCTTGGCCTGTGGAGTACTTGATGCTGTAAAAGTTGGTGTGAAAGGAATGCTGCTTGAGAATTTTGATTTAGTTTTTGAGAAACTTCATTTACTTTTGTTTTGCAGGTCATGTGCCCTACCTGTCTTTGCACAGGAATGGCTATGGCAAGTGAGCATGACCCACGGATTGACCCCTTCGACTGATTATGCAAAAATTTTCACTTGGCCTGTGGAGTACTTGATGCTGTAAATGGTTTTTTCTACATATTAGTTTCCTCAAATCTCGACGTTCCTGTGTATATAAAAAGAATACGATTCCAAATGCTCCCACCCCAGAATATTTGTTCTATGGTAGGGAAAACAGCTGCTTTTGTATTGCAAATTTTCTTGGAGAACTAAGCTCATTTGTATTACGGTTAAAATATTAAGTTGCTTGAATGGCACGACGAGTGGAGCCCACCCAACCTCCGCCACAGCTTGAGCTCCTCAACGGCCTCCCACTGTTGCACCTCAACTTCATGCTAGCAATGCTGGTGTTTATCTGGACTCTAGAGGTGGTGTTGGCTGATGGCTGATGCTCCGCTTTTCCTCCTCTTTCTACTTTTTGTTGCTATCATGAAAATAGTAAACAGCTAAATTCTCCAATGGCCACCCAACTTTATATTTAGTATCGCTATGGCCACTAATTTTATACTAATGCAGTTATGCCACCATGGTCGTCCAATTTTATATAATATTTCATCATGGCTACTCAACTTTTTTCACCATTTTTACTAATTTTAAAAGGATAAAATGATGACTTTGCATTATATATATTCATTTTAAAAAAAAATAATTTTTTATTTATTTTGTTTTTTTTAAGGAATTTTTTAAAATAACTCTTTTACTTTATTTTATTTTTCTAAGCAACATTTTTTAGAATAATTTTTTATTTATTATAAAACCATTTTTTAATAAGTTTTTATTTTATTTTTTTAATTAACAAATTTTTAGATAAATTTTTATTTTAATTTATTTTTTAAAATAAGTTTTTATTTATTTATTTATATGTAATGCAAAATTATTTTTTTCCCCTTCTAAAATTAATGAAAATGGTGAAAAGAAATTGGGTGGACACGATAAAATGTTATATAAAATTGGGTAGCCATGTGTGTAAGGCAAACATGCATATCTGTGATTCATTAACCATCCCCAAAATGTATGGGACGAGGCCTTGTGGTGAGAGAGTTAAATTTAAAAGTACAATGTCCGCTCATATATAAGGGTTAAGATTGCAGTTATGACACTGACATGTTAAAATTTGCCACACAGGTATGTAATGGACTTCATCTAAGAGTAAAGGATTCCAACAGTTGTAAGAATACTCGATAGAATCAAACGATACAATTAAAAAGAATTCAAGACGAGGGAAAAAAAGTATAGCAAATCAGAAAAAAATTTCTTAGCCTTGCATATTCAACTGTGAATAGTAATATCAGCTTACCTACAACAATCACATCATCCAATCCATTCTACCCTGTTTAACAAACAAGTTTAGATCCAACGTCCCATTATTCCATCATTCCATCATTCGTCTGAAAATCTTGGACACAACGATTTCGTGTCGTTCAAATGCTCAATTTCGTCTTTGGCTTCCTTGAGAGTTTCAGCAGTTATGGAGATTTCTCTTGATTTTCAGTCAGTTTAAGGCCATCAAGCCTTGGAGTGACAACATTTGTAAGTGTGCACGTCTAGATCGGGGTGGCTGTTTGTTGTATATTTTCAAAATCTTGTCTCTTTCAGAAAAGGATTACTCCACTAATCGTAACAAAGAGAGCAATCTTGCAGATGAAATTTCCTAACCAACCAACCACAAGAAGCCCGGTTAAAGCATTCGATATACGCCATGAAAAATCCAACCATTGCAGCGCTACCTGCGATTCAGTATAGTATATATTAAATTGAACTTACAAGCTATGCAGTCATAGTGAACATGATCATAAATTCATATACTGGTTGAATTCTGTCTATGTTTCTCGTAGTCGGTCTCAAGTTTGGTGAAGTTTGGAGAAGGTTGGCAATTCATACTTTATAACTCGAAGATTTGCTGACTTGATTGGAAAAGTAAAATAATAAATACACAAAGTGATACAAAAAAAAGAACACCTCGATTTTTGAGTCTATCTATAAGAGAAGGCATACAAAAAATGTAAACGATTATTTAGTTTCTTTGGACATTTGTCATCTAATGAAGCAAATAAACATGAGACATTCCTTCTATGAGTAGCAATATCAAACCAGATAACATAAGTAATGTGGCCTTCATATAGCAACCAGTATAAAATTTTGTTAAATCTCATGACACTTGAGTCATCATTTACTTGTATAGGATTTTCCCGTGGATGCAACAATGAATTCAACAAACCACGATAAAGGATATTCATAACAAATCTCAAATTAATTAAGAAAAATTGGTTATATTTATATAAAAGGGTAAATTATAAATGTGCAAGGCTTAACCGTTTAGCAGCTCAGCTTCAAGAAGATGTGTGAATGCTTGATTAATGAGAATCGTGGAGAGCAAGCTAACAATGATCAATTGCATGTTCTGAATTGATATGGATCAATTAGAAGAGAAGATCCTAATCCAATTAAAAATGGAAGTGAAATGAAGTATGTACAAAAACGTATAGGATGTATAAAAAATGATTATAACTTTTTGCTCAGTTGTCGGATCTTCGACCATGAGTACAATTCGAAAACGTCTTTTGATTCTGCACAAGTTTGTCGAATGATTATGTCAAACTTTATGGGTCAAAATCCGTTGTTTAGGGGGACCTTTTTTTATGTTTTGAATTAGTTTAAGGGTATATTCGTTATTTGTAGTATTTTAGTTTTATTCAGATTTGTTTTGTAGTTTATTTGGATCTGTCTTTAGAATTAGAGTTATGTTTTGATTAAGAGTTTATTTTATGCCTATAAAAGGCTCATTCATTGTGCAATATAGATATTAATTTTTTTAGAATTAATCATACTGTGAAAATTTTCACTTTCTATTTTTTTCTTAATTGAATAAAACTTATCAAGCATTTTCAATATCCGTGGCGCTAAAACTATCAGAACTTATCAAATGTTCATACTTTTTGTGGCATTCAATAATTCAAGTAAGGTTCGTAAGTTTTGTGATCACGGGGTAAAGATATTGTTTGCAATTGTCTGGGTTCTTTGTTCAATAATTTATTGGGTCGAGATTCAAAATTGGGATTTTAGCTTTCTTAGGCTGTGATTCAATCTTTTGTAGGTTTCGAAACTACTATTGCTATGTTGGTTCACATAATTGATCTATGCCTGACAAGGTATGATAGAGCGTCTAAAAAGCACATATTCTTCATGGGTTGCACGTTGTTGATGCAATTCAAGAAACTTCCTCCTCCTTGCTTCTACATGATTAAAGGACAAGAAATGCAGCCTGATTTAGCATTTTATTGATTTATTTTTAGTGTAGGTACAGTTCGTAAACCCTTTATTCTTCACAATACATAGATAGCAGTTTGTTTAGATGATAAAAACTTGAGTCGACTAGTAGTCAGTTAATCTTAATTTAAGGGTTTGTAGGTCATACATGCATATCTATGATTCGTTCATCATCCCCATAATGTATGGGACAAATGAATGCATTTCGATTTAGGCCTAATGATTGAGAGAGTTATATTTAAAAAGTACACGTTTCGTATATGAACGTTGAATATAAGGGTTAAGATTGCACTTATGGATACTCTAGGGGAGGTTTGTAAAAATTTGCCTTTAGAGTATTTTATGGACTTCGACCAATATATGGTTTATCATTCTACAAAATGTTTCTATATATGATTCTATCTCTCTCATTTTTTTTTTCTTTGGGCTCATTTTGTACCCTAACTAAGAACATTAGTATAAGATAAAGGAGTCCAATTTAGTTTATAAGGATAGAAATAAGTGCAAATTTGGTGCGTAGTACATGATAGAACAGAACAAAACAATGAAGAATTCAAGATGAGTGATAAAAATATAGCTAATCAGGCAAAAATTTCTTAGCCTTGAATATTTCAACCGTGAATATTAATATCAGTTTTACGTGCAACAATCACAACATCCCACTCTATTCTACCCTACTTAACAAACAAGTTTAGATCCCACATCCCATTCCTCCACCAGTCATCTGAAAAATCTTAGATACAATGATTCTACATTGTTCGAATGCTCAATTTCGTCTCTAGCTTCCTTGCGAGTTTCAGTAGTTATGAAAGGAGATTTATCTTGATTTTCAGCTAGTTTAAAGCCATCAAGCTTTGGAGCGATAACATTTGTTGCTTGCTTTAAGTGGGGAAGTCTAGATTGAGGTGGCTATTTTTGTAAGTTTTATGTCCTAAATCCAATCGACTCTTGACATAAGCACATTTAATATATAGTTGATGTGATCTATGGCAGATCTATTATTTAATTAATTAATATTCAATTGAATTAAATAATGGAGTCCGTAGATTCAAATCTTAGTAATTTGTTAATTACAAAAAGTTGTGATTGTGAGATACAAATTATATATGATTGAATCTTAAATCGTCTATGTTCGTAAGTAATACAGAGATATGGATATCGTTATTACGGATAGACCATCACGTGTGATATTTTTTACTTGTGAAGTAAGTAGTTAATCTGACAAGCTAAAGTGTGGTGACACTTGAATGAACACATGGATGTTTTGTTATAAAATAAAACATTGGAGATCCGCTGAGAGATTCCAATGGATAACTATTTGAGTGTTGGTGGTTAATCTCTAATATTCGGTAGTGGAATTAGTCCTTTGACTTGAAGTCATCATAGAGCCTTATATAAGTACAGTTGTGTTTTGATGGTGTTGGATGTTGCTCTGCTAAGGAATTGTATGAAAGTTGTGAATGACCAGTAAATGATTCGTCACTCTAATAAGTAAGAGATTATGATTTGCACTTCATTCAACTAAGTTAATAATGAAATCCTTGGCTAAAATGTACTCATAAGTCGAAAATGAGTTTTTGAGTTATTGATTTAATAGTAGAATGAAAGATATGATCGATAATTAAGATTAACACACTTTCATATCTAGTAATTGATCGAATCATATTGAAGAAGCGATTATAGTTTCACGGTAAACGAACAAGTTTGGTTTTGTCATACCACATGATATTTTTCGTTCCATGTATTACCCTGACACATTGCTAGATGTCAATTTGAGACAGCGAACGTGAATTGATAGTAAATTAAAAGGGTGTTTTAATTTATCAATTTTGATTAGATCAAAATAATAATTCACGTCGTTAGGCATCATGATTGGGAACCTGATGTGTTGTACATAAAAGGAGTACTAGAATATTGTGATTTGTCAATTAATTAATTTAACAAGCGTTCGATAAATTAATTAATTGAATTACTTATTTATATGTCCGAATTAATTAATTGGATTAATTAATTCATGGACTGATTTTAATTAAATTGGTTAATTTAATATTGGATTGGGCCATGAGACAGGCCAAGCCCGTTTGAGCTAAGATATATAAGCAACTAGGATTTACAATTTTGTAGAGAAATTTATTCTTGTTAGCATAAGAGGAGAAAAATTCTATTTTCTACAATCTTGTTCTCTGTGTGAAATTTTATTAGAGGCAAGACAATTGGATAGTTGTAGGTGACAAATCAAGATTGTTGAAACGAAAAAAAAGCAAAAGAGTTTGCAGAATAAAAAAAGGTACAATTTTTATCACAGTTTCTACCTAAACACAAAGCAGATTCTAGGTGGGAATTGAAATTTATTTTATTGTCCACTGCGAATGATTTAGTAGATTTCCAACCATTTCTTGGTGATATGTTGAGAATTGCAAGCTCTTTGTATGGAGGCAGTAGCACCAATTGATGCCATGGGAAATAGAGGTTTTTTTCAGAAAATGCCCATGATTTTTGCTTTCTAGCAGTGTGATGGGTAGGCCATTCTATCCGTTTCTCATTCCATGCCTGGACACAACTACCGTAACTCAACTATTGTTTTGATAGTCTATCACGAGAGACTCTAAATAGGGACTATGCCAAAACAGATTGATACTTACAATGATAAGGGGATGTAATTCAATGGAAAATGCCACTTTGGCCAAAGAATTTGGCCAAATGCAATGATAGAAGATGTCGTGGTGGGAGGTGATTGAATGAAAAAATTGATTATGTTTTAAACATTTTAATGATAGAATGTTATGTTGCATTATGTCAACCTCTCTAGCACTGTAGTATGGTGGGTAATTCAACTTGCTAGAGTCAGTTTTTAAGTCGTACAAGTTCAATTTGTTATACCTATTCAGTTATAGTCAAAGTCAAAGAAGGAATTAAGTTGAATAAATGATTTTCATTGGGTTTAATTTGTAACTGCTAATACTTAAAGGGCCAGAAATGATATAAAAGAAATCCAGGAATCTTGCCCCCATTTAGCCCCCATTCTTTTTCATTTTTTTCCTCTCTTATTTTTAGCTACATAATCTTCCATAAAATAATATTACACGTAAATAAAAAATATTTCATTCTTTTTCAACTAAGCATTCTTAAAAAAATAAAAAAATAAATAAAAACCTATTCCAAACATTAAAATTTGGGGGGAAAAATGGGAGCCAAATAGGAGCTAATTTCTAATATAATAAATGAGATGACTAAAAGTTATATTGTAAGAAGATTAAGGACATGATTTGCAATTACACTATATTAATCTATTAAAATAAAAGGAAAGCGATTCATTTTACAAAGGAAGAAAATATATTGAGAGAGAAAAAATGGAGAAAGGGAAAGAGGGAGAAGAAAAGGAAAGAAAGAAAGAGGAGAGAAGAAGAAGAAGAAGAAATGAGAGGCCGGTTTGGAGATGGGAAATGATGGCTAAACTCTTATTGAGGTAGGGTTCTTCAATTTCTCCTTTAATTTATAGAGGTAAGTATAAGAATGTTGAATTATCTTTTATGGTTTATGAAAAATTGTTTATTTTCGAAGTTTAGCTAGAATTAAAGTTATTAAGAAGTATTTGGGTAATTTATGAATACTATTGCAAAGAAATATGAATATGGAAAGGTTTATGTTGAAGTATACAAGAGACATGAAATGAGCTCGTAAATTAGTCTCAAATTCTAAATCTATTGTGATTACATGATACCAAACACTTGATTATCATGTATTAAGTGAGAGATGAATTTTATGTTGGATTTTGTGCAAAATTCATGTACAAGTGCTGTTGCTGAAATTATGTTTTCTGTTGAAGTGTTTGGAGACAGTTTCAATAAACAGACATTGGTGCCTGATTTTAATATTCTGGAAATAGAGTGCTAGTTTCGTTAATCATGAGAGTTTCCTAGATATTTTAATATGGACACCACATTAAGTGTAAATATTATGGATTAGGTGTTAAAATAACTTATATAAAGGAGTATATGTGATTAGTGACTCTAATTGAGATTATGAGATTGAAAATAGAAGATGTCAAGTTCCTATTGATAAATCCTTATTTCTAATGGTAGGAGAAATGCTCAATGAACCTTGGTAAAGAAATATGATTTCTTGGAGGGAGTGTGAGATGTCACATTTGATATTTGAATGTGAGAAGGTGACGAGAAGATTAAAGTCTTGACCAATCTACAACTGGGTGAGTGGAAAAACTCAAAGATTTTCAAATATTGACAAATTAATTATACTATTATATTATGTGTAATTATGTGAATTTCTTTTACAATTTCAAAATGCAGCACAAGTCATGCTCTAAATTCTCAAGTACAAGTTACGACACATTTTTCCAACAGAAAATATTCGAACTTGAAAAATGTTATTTCTACAAGTATCCAAAAGTTGCTGAGAAGTACAAGTCGCACAATCGAAGAGTTTTTCGATGATTTACAAATTAGGTTGTCAAAATCAACTAAAGTTTAACAGTATGTGGATCAATTGTAAGTTAACTTTTCTAGCGAAATTTTTGGCAAGATTTGCCGAAGGTTTTTAATCAAGAGGGGGGGGGGGGGGGGGGGTTTCTTTGTTATTATATCTGGTTTTATTTACTTTGTTGATTTGGCCTAAATGTTTGTGATTGTTTAAATTTACGGTTCATTATTGATTATTGTTCACGAAATATTTCTTTTCGATTTAAATCACAGCAAGTGTACGGTTCGTTAACAAGTAATAAAGTGAATTTCTAGAGTCCGAATATCGTCTTACAGAGATTGAGTAGTTCAATTGTATTTATCTCGACCTTAATGGAATCTAAATGATTAATTATGAATTTTTATCCTGAGAAATCCTAAATCTAAGCTAGAGTACCAATATTATGAATTGGATGCTATGTTATGCAAGACAACGTTTAATTTAACTAAAAGGGAAAATTGCAGCAGCAGTACCAAACCTTTCGTTTATTAGTAGACTTTGCCCAAACCTTCATTTTGTGACAGCGAAGGTTCCAAACCTTTCATAAATATGCAGCCGAAGTCCAGATGGATGGAATCCATCCATTTCACCGTTAGTTGACCAAAAAACTGACTTTGACTCCAATTTTGATCATATTAGTAAGGGCAAAATAGTAACTTGCATATTATCCCATTAATTAAATAAGTTAAATAGATAAACCATAAATAAAAAAAATGAATGAAAGAAAATGTTAGGATCGGACTGTGATCGTGAATTTTGGAGAGAGAGAATGAATGCTGTTGGAAGGCAGAGATCTGGGGCATCATCGACTGTGCACCACCAGCGGCAGTACTCCGATAATTTTCTAGAATCATCATCAAACGACCAATGGCTCCAATCAGCTGGTCTTCAGCATCTGCAGTCATCTAACAATGCAGTTCCTCAACTTCAGGTGCAGTTCTATTTTTCTGCGTTTCTTGTTGACCACATGTATGCTGCTAGATCTGAATATCTGACGTTGAGATGGAAAAATTTTCGACTTTTTATTTTTGAATTTTTTTTGAATTTTTTAAAATTGGGATTTTGGATACCATGATGGAGGGGGTCAGGACTCGAGAATGTCTAGGAGCGTGCAGGTGCAGAGGACTTACAGTGGAAGAAGCGATTTGTTTGCTGAACCATTGACGCCACCACTAAATTCACGGTCGGGAAGTCAGAGAAAGAACGGGGAGGAGCAAGTTTCGCCAAATGAGTATAGTCCAGGGCTCTTGGATCTGCATTCTCTATAAGTACCCCAGTTCGAAGGTGGTGCTGGTTTCGATTTCGAGGCGAAGTCGTGTTCGCATCGATTTCTTATTTTGGTTCCATTTAGCAGTGAATAAGAGGGTAGCCGAGGTGGTGGAGGTTGTGGAATTGATGGGGGCCGACGGATTTGGGTGGAGATGGGCAGCCGGGGTTGGGTAGTCGATGGCTTCAGATTATGGTCGGGGTGAGGTGGGGGTGCTGTCAGGGAAGAAGATGAAGATTGACTATTTTCTTTTTTCATTTTTTTAGTTTAATTTAATAGTTAATAATATAGAAAAATAATGTTAATTCTAAATATACCATTTTACCCTTTCTAATTCAGTTAAAATTAGTCAAAATTCAATTTTATTGGTCAACTAATGGTCAAATGGACGGATTCCATCCATCTGGACTTCGGCTGCATATTTATGAAAGGTTTGGGACCTTCGCTGGCACAAACTAAAGGTTTGGGCAAAATCTGCTAATAAATGAAAGGTTTGGTACCTCGACTGCAATTTTCCCTAACTAAAATGCAGTTTGATAATTGGGACTCAGGTTAAATGTATTCAATGAATGTGAGATATACTAGGATCACAAATTCCCAAGTAATGTTCAATTTAACCTTAATTCCACACTTTGACAACACGATGACATTTTGAGGAATCAACACTCCTAAATCTATCCAACACACTCTCTCGAGATGAATCGAACCTATACTCATACACCACTAGCCTATATCTCTATGACGGATGCAAATATCGAGAATGCATGTAGTTTTGTGAGTACTTAGAGATTCACACAAAGCATAGGGGTATATTTCTATCCCCCTATGGGATCCTACGATGATTTATACCTTGTCGAATTTATTCCTCTTCTTTCGAATAGATGAAACAAACCACCAAAACTCACACAATTACGGACCCATAATCATGGAGGCAATTAAATGCATATAAATCATTCGAACAATCAATACGTATTTTAATGTAAAAATACGGAACAAAGGATTAAATATCACATTACAAGGTTCATCGATCTCTTAGTATATATTTTTCTAGCATACCATGATGGGAAGAAGAACACAACAATAAAAATCAAGAAAAGACATCACCCTATTGAATTCTTGAAGTGAGACCTTGAATCTTGGATTGAATCTTCTTGTGCTTCCTTCTTCTTTCTCCCCAAATCCTCCCAAAACAATGTATAATGTGTGGTCTATGTTTTTGGATGTCCCTAGGGCTTTAAAAGACTCACCAAGATTTGTTTCCATAAGAATTTCATTTAGAAAAGGAAATTAGATTTTCTTGCCGCGATTAGCTCGGGCTATCGCCGAGGAAAAATTTGGGCAGTCGCTTAGGCCAAGAATTTCTTCTCGATAATTAAAAAATCATGTTGGGCGATCGCTTGATGTTTATAACTGAGCTATCGTCCAGGCAAAATTTCTTCCATATGTTGGATTTTAGCCCTCGAAGTCGATTTTTGATTCTTTCAAGTCCTTTCTCTTGCATTTTCAACCATTTGACTTTTAATTTCATCCAATTGAACCCAAAACATCTTTAATCTTCATTTTGTGATCCGAATCAACTACTGAAATGTTGCAACTTAGTCTTCATACTTTGGATTTTCTTCCTTTTTGGTTCTTTTTCATTTCTTTTTTCTTGAATTTCACCACATTCATCAATATAGTCCTACAAAAATATAATTACATAGAATTAAGTCATAATTCAAACCTTTTATCATAATTAAGTCATGTTTGTGAACTAAATAAGTGTGTAAAAATACACTTATCGAACCCCTCAATCTTGAACTATTGTTTGTCCTCAAACAAGATAGTGGCTCAATACAAACATGGCTTAATAACCTGCCGTATATCAAGATTGGACTAAGTATTTGACTTCAAAAAAAAAAAAATTGATTAGTGTAAGAATGAAATCAACATTTACCCGTTAATTGCATACCCGAAGTGCGTGTGTGAAATCATGCTAACATATTTAGTTCATGATGGGGTTAGTCCCGACCCAAAGTGGTCAAATATGTCTTTACTTCGCTCGAGAGGTACACAATCCCCAAATTTATTCTTTTCACTCAGTTATCCTGGGATTGTGTTTTACAGTTAGGATTTTAGGAAACTGCAGTCATTACCTTTTCTTAGTTTGGATAAATCTCACTATCACAAGTTCACATGTCAACAAATGAAGGCTCTCCAGATTTGATTGTTTCAACACTTAAAATTAAACTAAGTTACTAAACTCGCTTCAAAGGTATAGTTTTTTCAACCAAATGTCCAAGGGCCTCTTGATATTATCGTGTCTTTTCTCACTTATTTTCTGATAATTTTTTTACATCATCTTCTCATTTGCTTTATGTATAACTCATGTAGCGAGTTTTAGGATGACTCCCAAACCAGTTTGCTTTAGGACATCAGATTTTAAACCCTTGCAGGTATAATCACTCGAGTTATAAAGGCTCGATCTGATAATTTTTTATTCACCTCTTCCCCTCTTGATTTCTATATGACCCATGTAATGAACTTTTGGTCGATAACTCCTAAGCCAGTTGATTTTAGGGCACCAGATTTTGAAATATCCTTATAAGCTTACTTGTTCGAATCATAAAGGCATGCAAAAAGGTGTCCTATTTTCACAAGTCATATTTATGCCCTTTATTATTTTTTTAGACATTTGGCCTCCAAAATCAACTCCAAATTTAAGATTTTCACCTAATTTTTATTTCACTGGTCTAGGCAATTCACACAATAGAATTCATACACGGAGCCCCCACTTATCTCAATGCTTTCCTATGATTGCTCTACCATCTCCAAACCGTCTTGAGGTAGTTTACTATTTGATTTAGTAGAGGGTTATTATTCTTCTCCTATTTTATGTTCAAAATCCCAATCACTAACCTAACATGTCGTGCATGAGTAGCGTGTATAAAGAATGTCAAGTATTATATCTATAAGTATTGGTTAATCTATTCAGCACCATATCCACAATTTGTAATTTATAGCAGTCCAATAATCACATCATAGTTGACAAGACTATCAAGCCCATACAAGCATGCAAGAATGGAAATACAGCAAACTGAATAAATCGCAAAGATTTTTTTTAACACTCATCAAGTACATAATAAGCAATCATGAAACATAGATATTGATGAATATTGGCAAAATGATGAAAAGATGTTCGTGTCCAAGATTATGTTACCCACTCCCAGATTTGGATAATACATTGTCCTCAATGTGAAGATGAAATAAAAGTGTAAACAGACATAATTGAAGGACAATAATAAATTAAAAGCGCAAGATGGGATACGAGTACTCCCCTGATCTATATGGAGGTGGTAAATAAAAACTAGGATCCACAGTGTTTCTCATTTTCCTGTGACATTATTTTTGGCGGTATCATGTAAAAGTGCAAAGTATGCGTATTACTACACATGGTGTAAATAGATGCAACTGAGGCAAGAAATAACCTATGTAGTACACAAATCCCCAAACTTGCTTCAAGGAGCATGCATACATTGTTGGTATGCAGATTGCATAATTTATGTCTCAACATAGGGTTTATATTACAAAAATGTGAATCACCAACAAAACTTTACTCAAAACATGCACTTTGTTCAATTTGACACATGACTGACTAAAATAGGACTTCAACTTCATGACTCATACTCAGTGCATTGGGACTCGTGTGGACCATGCTTAGACTCCACGTGATAGGGATGTATGATCGATGACCTAAAACTATTGATAATGCTAAAAAAAAGATGAAATTTTCCTAAACTATTGCAAAACA